TTTCTGCTCCTTCACGAGCGTAATGTTATGATTAATTTGATGTGATTATGTTCATTTTGAATACGATATTTGATGCTGGAATAATTACCTCACAATAATTACTTTATTTTATGGATCGTTTCAAAATCAAACAAAACGTTTTATCACAAAATGAGACATATAATATTGCCAATGTATCGAAGAGGATAACCATATTAAAAAGAGACATCTAGACTGATTATGAAAGAAGGAACTACAAATAGTTATCAACATGTTTGGAATTCAATATCGAGATTTATTGATGATCAGTATGTATATTTTTTAATCATTTGTATTCTGTTATTATCAATTTAATATTGGATGCCGCGCGGGTGTTTATGCCTCGGTCGGATGGGGTGGTGGTGGTGGTGGTGGGCTATAAAATACACGACTGTTTTTTTTTTAGATTAGACCCATAACATCAATCTGAAATAAAATCAGATGTCAATCAAATTTTTGTCACCCGCCTTTCGAAAAAAACCAGGAGACTATTAAAACGGCCTGTCTGCCCAGACGTCTGTCTGTCCGTAACACCTTTCTTGGGGACACAATAACTCTCCTTCTAATTGAGCTATAATTTTCAAACTTGGGACAGGCGTTTATTATGTGCATGGCTTGATGGTATTAGACGTTGAGCATTTTCTGCTTGGGGTAAGCAGAGATACGCAATTTGATTTGTTAATGCTTTGGGACACGATAACTTTAGTTCTAATTAAGTGATGAAACTTGGATAGTCTCATTAGAGCAATACCTTGATTAAGTTCGATAATGAGTTTTTGCTGCTCAGGATAAACAAATTGATTGGTCAAGGCTTTTTAGCTCAATAACATTGATTCTAATAGGGTGGGAATTGCTTCATTACACCAATTCCTTCACTAAGTTGGATGATGGGCATTTTATGCTTCGACTCGGTGGAGACTTCAACCGGATAGGTCGAGACTTACTAACACAATAACACTCCTTCTAATTGAGGTAGAATGTTGAAAGTTGGTTTAGTTCTTTATTAGGTGAATGCCTTGGTTGGTTGATCGAGATATTGGAACACGATAACTTTGGGACATATTGGGTGGAGCGATATAACTCAACTTATAGTTTCATTATTTCAATACCTTGACTAAGTTCGATAATTTTCTGCTCAGGCGAAGAAGTGATAAGCAAATTTATTGGTCAATTGCAAGACACTGGAACATAACAACTCTGCTTTTAATTGAGGAAGAATGTTTAAACTTGATGTAGATATTCATTAGGTGAATGTCTTGACTGAGTTCTATGATTAACATTTCGAGCTAAAGCTAAGCAGACATAAGCAATTTCATTAGTTGGTGCTTTTTGATAAGATAACTTTGATTCTAATTGACGGAGTGTGATGAAACCTAGTGTATAGTTTCACTACCAGGTATTTCAAAACCATGACCGAGTTCGATCGTAAATATTTATGTTTTACAAAGAATAGATAATCAGTTTGATTGCTCAATACTTTTCAAAAAGATAAATGTGCAATTAATCAATATGTCAGGTGTCATCTCTCTATTTTTTATATTTTTTTTTTTTGGGGGGGGGGGGGGGTGTGTGTCAAGGTGGCTAAGTGGGTAAGACGCTGGCTAGCTAGCCTGGAGGTCGATTGTTCGATCCCTGCATTGGCCGAGAAAGTTCATCCAGATTTTCCGGCGTGGTTCCCCTTGTCAGTGATGCATGACGGAGGGCCTGACAAGTACAGCTGTCTAGTCGTTCGGATGGGACGAAAAACCGAGGTCCCGTGCACACAATGGCGTGCACGTAAAAGATCCCTTGACAGTTGGAATTCGATATAAGAGTAGGACGTAGTGGCGCTGTCTGGGTAAGATTTCCCTCATAGCACACTGTATAGCTTACGACCGTCTTCATTCGCCCAGTTCGGAGAAGTAGGACGTTAAACACCATTTCATTTCATTTCTTTATTTTGGGATTGGGGCTAGGGACACCAGCCTCGCCAGGGGCTTGTTCAATTGTATACGCCCAAGTGGCAACTTGTTACATTCCAAAGATATTCAGTGCCCAAAGTATTTACAAATAAAATGATCCATACATTTATTTTTTTTTATAATAGGCCTTCTTGTTGATACAAGCTGTTCAGGTATGATTAAAGTCATTCATTTTACTATATGATTAAACTGATTAAAATATATTAGGGATTTTTAAAAACTAATATATGTGTATTCTATTTTGATACATTCAGCAACTAAATAAAAAAAATCACAGTATTATGTTGAACATAAATGTACATGAATCATGGATATCAAAACATTACTGAAATGGACGGGTTTAAAGGGGAAAACCTCAGATGAAAACACCTTTAAATTGCTTCGAGCTATCTTAATCGTTATCACCGAGTTTAATGTCTTATAGTTTCAAATAGTATTATAATTATTGTTTTAAATGCATGCACCTTGCTTTCAATTTTTCAAAGATATGATGAACTGAAAATTTGTCAACATCAGGCAGAAGATATAGACGGGATATGGTCAAAAGAAGCTTGAACCTACGATAATCTTCGCAAAAATCTTTTCTTATTCCGACTGAAACCAAGCCGAGGGATTACCTACATTTTCTTTCTAATTACATGGCTACATCTTAGCTTGGATTAACCATCAAACTTTCGATAATGTCTACAAAATGCAAATGACGACAAGGGGCATTAAAAGCCACGATATGTCTTTTCGTACCATAACGATTGACTTTCATAAACTAACTGACAATTATTTTGTTCCCACTGAAATAAGAGTTAAACAGTCCTGATTAATTAGATATTAATTTTCTGAATTTGTAAATAAATACATTTTAGGTTCCCGAACAATTCCAATTCAAACCGTTAGTGTAAATGGAACAGCCCATATTCACTGGTCAATGAAGTCAACCAATATACACTTCATAGTAATAAAACATAACAATAACACGGTAATTTATTTATTTCATTTAGAATTATATCGATTATCTGAATTTTAGTCTGGAAAAAAGGGACATGCAAATACTGCTACTCAGAATCTTGCACGGTTTACACGAGATTATCGTACAATAGCAGCGACACTTACATCGGGTTATTTAATAAATATTTTAACTTCCCTTTTGGAATACTTTGTCGAAACATGAAGAGAAAATCGACGTATCTTAACATTAGCTTTATCCATTATGTACAATCAGTAGGGGATTTAGAAGCTTTTGAATCAATGGGGGTAGGACCACAATAAAATAGATAATACAACGCATACAATAACAGTGAGCGGGAGAACATAGATCGCCTATATAGTTGTTGACCGAACGTTATCTCAATTAGATATGCTTCTCAAACATTTTTTAACGTTTGAAGATTTTTAAAAAGAATGGGCCATGACAATAAAGACGATTTCCATTTTGAAGTTACAATGTAAATTTGGTGAGTTGTTAGTTTTTTTTATTATCTTATCTCATTGTGAGACCTTTGACCACTTTGTTAGGTTGTGTTTAACTAAGACAAAGCCCACTCCCACATACACACGTTACCTACTCCCATATAAACTAACCAGAAGTTGTCTCGGCACCAGGACGTCTTGACAATCAAAACGATGTGAAGTGTAGCTTTGCTCCCTGAGATTGAACATCCTACTTTAATTAGAAGAAGGATTACTATAAGATCGTTTCATGTCGGGTACACTCCCTCAGAATGGCATGCCCTTTGTAAAACTGCGAAATTATTTGACCCGAGCATTTATATTGACTGAGATGTGACGGACAGATGAATTATTTTATAAAACACATTCTAATAGTGCTGGAATGTAATCTCCGAACAGCGGAAGGCAATAAAACGCGTTTACAAGGTAAGGGCTAATTTAGGGTTCCTACAAATGAGTTTAGCTAATTTATAACTGATTATCGACTGTCTGAGTCAGAGGGTGGTTCACAAACCGCTAGGTCACTGGTTCAATCCATGAGTTGGCCGAGAAAGTAACTCGAGATTGTTCATCGTGGTCTCCTCTCTGGTCACGACGGAGGGTTTGGTGACGTTTTTGTCTGTGATCTTTACTGTGATCTGCCATAGGGCATACGTTGATGTCCTTTGCTTTCTTTGCTTGATTAAATGTAATCGTATGTTATGTAATGTTTTTGAAGAAGATGATAGTGCAGTAGTTAAGACAGTTAACCTAGTATTGTTTATAATAAAAGATGTGTTTTTAAGATTTGTATAATGGACCAAGCTAAGGTGAGGAAAGTACATACCTGATGGACTAAGGCTATTAGTTATCTCCTCATTAACGTCTATATTAAATCCATGACATTTTGGGGCCTATTCCTTTTTTTGTTAATTCCGATGATCTTAATTTTTATAACATGTCAAAATAATCTGATAACAGAAGTTGACAATAACGATTCTTTTTCTAGGTCGGCCATAGGAATTATAAGTGGGTGATTTAGTAGGTGAATATCCTATTACACGTGTGACGTGTTATAAAAATTAAGATCATCGGAAAGTTCAGAAAAAGAAATAGGCCCAAAAATGCCATGGGGTCTACGTTAATGAGGAGATAATTAATAGCCTTAGTCCATCAGTTATGTACTTTCCTCCCCTTAGCTTGGTCCATTGTCAGAAAATGTCAATTCAAACATTTTTCATCGATTCACGGTCAATAAGGGCATGGGGATCTCTAAACAGACGAACTGTATGTTATCTCGGCAACATAACTGGCAATTTGAGAGAGGAGGGGGGGGGGGGGTAACGTCCAGTACTTGGAGAAAACCCACGATGTCGGACAGGCAACCCCGACCCTTGCCATATATAAACGGGGAATCGAACCCACTTGATTTAGTGACAACCCTTATGATCTAACGCGCATGCATTAAACCATTTGGTCGCCCAACCACCCTTGCAAATTAACAATTGCACTACTTTAGTAATGATTACATTTAGTTTGATTCGTTTTGTTATTTTACAGGTTAACATTGCCGACGGTAGGCCAGATAAACTAATAATCCCGGATGATCGACTATCCATAATAATCAGAGATTCAAAAATAACTTTAACTATAACCAAAGTACGCTATGACGATGCTGGAATTTACACGTGTTTAATAAACATAGCACAAGAAACTAAAGATGTACAGCTCATTGTTTCTGGTGAGTTATTCGTGCTCCACTACTATTAACAAATGGTGTAGATATTGCTATACATTTAAACAAGTTACATGTATGGCTCATTATATTATCACAAATAGTTGTCAGTATAAAAGTTGATTTGGGGAGGAGTATTTCGATAGGCTTAGGTCTTAGGTGGGCACTAATATATATTAGACAACCAAATTAAAACGAAATTTTATTTATTTTGTTTTAAGATGTCAAATGTACAATATGAGTAATTTCTAGTATTATATATGGCATAACTACTAGCTGATGTTTTTGTTATTTTATCTGTGGCATAACCTAGTATAATAGTAATTGTTAATTGTTTCTAGCGTTGGAGAAGGGTAGCGCTGTTGATGTCCCGGGAACTGTTCCATCTACCTCCATACGAATGAACGATAAAACTTATACCCCGTGGCCAGGTGATGAAGGTATAACCATTTAAATATTCCATATATAAGACTAATTAAATATTTCCTAATGGCGATACCTGTGCAAGTAAAATTGCAATTTAAGTAAAATTGACCTTTGAGACTGTTTCATTAATTTCTAGAATCATATGTGGCATATCGACTAGCTAATGTTTTAGTTGTTCTATCTGTGATAAAACCTTGAAGAACTTTGACCATACACCATACCTTTAATTTTTGAAATTTTGGCGCCTGTTTTCTACCGTAATTGTTTATTGTTTCTAGCGTTGGAGAAGGGTAGCACTGTTGATATCACTGGAACTGTTCCATCTTCCTCCATACCGCTGGACGATAAAACTGATACCCTGTGGCCAGGTGATGAAGGTACAGCCAATTAATTATTCCATTTAAGCGACTAGTCCAATGCTCCCTAATGACCGTAGCTATACGCACCTTGACCTGCTATTAATATACGTGTATAAACCCTCTTGCCTGATACCGGCATTGTGCGGTTGTGACTCGCCACCAAAATGTTCCTGGTTCGCATCGAGGTACTGTCCAAGAAAAGGCTTAGCTATGGAAATTGTGTCTCGTCATCTGGAATTTTACGTACAAGAATAGATATATAAGTACAAGATGTTAGTTACAAAATGAATCAACTTTCTGCTCAAATAATACCTTAATTCTGTTAGTAGGTTCTGGTCGTGTCGAATTAATCGTTATGGTAGTGATCGGATTGATGGTACTATTTTTTATCCTCCTCGCAGCAAATACGTTGTATTTTAGAAGAAAGCTCATTCGTGGAGAACGAGTGGACAGTATCGGTAAGTATTACTTCAGCCAGGCTTAGATAATTGAAAGGATTCAATACATTTGATTTGAGTAACACAAATACACTTGCATTGTCGAATTAATTAAAGTTGATGTGCTGATTTAGCGAAATGAGTATTTGTCTACATTTAAGCTATCGGACCCACCATTGTGTGTATGCCAAGATCGAAACTAACATAAACAAATATTCTGAATTGCATTTTTCGAAATTCCCCGGAGTAGGATCGCCTGTCCAACCGTGTGGGTTTTCTCCGGGTCCTTCGGTTTCCTCCCACTGCCAAAGACCCTACGCGCAAGCGAATTATGAAAATAAAATTGAACCATATGTTAGTCCCGAAATGACCTAGTTTATGTCGAGAGGACGTTAAACCCTCCCCCCCTCTCTCTCTCTCTCTCTCTCGCATTTTTCGAAACAAATGCGTTTTCTTAAATGGAACAATACACAAGATCAATACTTTATTTTGATCACAAATACGTGAGTCTATTAGATAAATCCAGAAAACATTTAAAATATCATAGACAAACCTCATTAGTTTTCTTTTCATCGGAGTTTCAGCGGAAATTGTTTCTTTGTATAGTAATTTAGACCTATGAAATAAAAAAAACTCCAGCCCATCTTTACTTTTTAGGCTAGATATTGAGTCATAGCATAGGTGTCAATATTTTACTTCAAGCTGCGGTCATATCTTACGGTCACGCACGTAGTTCCCCGTAGTGAAACTAGGTTGTTATTATGGTCAACTATGTTCAACCGACGGTCACAGTACAGTCTTCGCATCCAAGATCACCATACGGATATTTTGAACATGTTGACAAATTTTGGGCTAACCACGGTCAAATCATGGATTTCGTTAATTACGTTTTTAACTACGTTTAACTAAGGTCTACTGATGTCATCTACGTGCGTGACCGTAAGATGTGACCGCGGCTACATAAAGACCGTGTTGACAAATCAATCCAAAAAAACAACACATTTTATGTATTGTTTTGTAAGTAATTGGGTTTGTTTTAGGAATGGTTGCTCATAGCTATGTAAGTATAAATTCATCTGTACATGGTAGAGTAGAGAACAGTGCAACACATAATGCAGATGACACTTCAACAGTTGTGATGGGTCAGGAATTAAGTCTAAATAGTAATGTCATTATAAACACAGACGTACTGACCAGTAATTTGTCTCTTCCTGATGATCAAGTCGCCACCCCGATATCTCATGACAGCGATGGGGTCAATGAACTGAATGATATATCAACAGTGATGACTGGCCCAGATCATTTGACATCGGCCCTGGAAATACTACTAACCGGTAATACCCGTAGTGCAGCCCGCACTGTATCTAGTGCTCATGCTAGCAATGAACATGGTGAAGAATGTGCTTCCTGCAGAAATAACTATGACCGACTACAGATGAGGCCACCGAATGTGGACAACAACACGTATACAAGTTTGAAAGATCAGACCACAGAGTTATAAATGTGTACAAGATAATGAAAGATAAAGGCAGTCTCGAGGACATTTTAGGTCGAAAACAGACATTTGCTTGAAATGAGCTAAAATGAAATGGGGTTTAACGTCCTACTGTTCTGTTCCAACTGGGTTAATCGTAATTAAATAGCTAGTCATATTTCCAGTGTACAGTTTTGTAATTAACTAGCTAGGTTGTTTCTAAGATCACCAAGTTAAATGAAACCTGTTGCTGCGGTGTAAAATGCTGATTTCTACTGTCGGACATTAATATATCCAGGATGTCCGAGGGAAAATATTTTCATTTCACATTTTGGATAAGAACCACCTGAGTTTAATAGATTGGTAATGGCTGTTTAGTTTTTTAAATCAGCTGACCCGTGTCCCGTAAGAACAGTTTAGCTTTTTTGGTGTTCCCATACCAAATGCACTTTGAGATTAATTAACCAGCTTGGACCAGGAGCGTGTGTCGATCGGTGAGATTAATTATAAACCAATTGTTTTGAACGGTTGTGAATAGCTAAAAGGTGCAGTGTACATGTATTCAGAGGAGGGTTGTGAATAGTTAAAAGGGATGGTGTGCACGTATACAGCTGTACCAGGAATTTTTTTTTTCAATTTCGAAGTGTTTGTGTTCCGCCCATTAATATTCCTGCTTTCGTTCCCAATCCAGACGATTTTATTCGGAGATCAGGGTGCATGTGTTCCAACCATAATTACATCCCGAGTCATTAAGTGCGCAGTCCACTAGCTCTTCTACGGATGACCCAACCCGAAACAAGTATTCTTGATGTCATTTTTGTTTTGTTTTACCAGAAAGCACAATAGCGGGCAAAATCATCCAGTTACTACTATTTAATATACTTTTCAAAAAAAGTAGGGGATATTCAGAAACAATACAAAACTGCGGCAATGCACTGCTGTTTTTATTATAGGTAACCAGTGTATGATAATAACAGGCCAATTGCCTACACATGAACATAAAACAGTTCATATGGTCAGTTTATCTGTTCTCCCCAATCTGACTATATCATTCAGTATGTTGTACTAAACTATGCCTATCGGCACTACGACGCCGTTCAGTTAATACGATATTGTTTTGCTATTGGAACTACATCCCCGTTTAGTTAAGACGGCCGGCTTGTCCTCTTGGGACTAGTTCCTTTAGGAACTGTCTATAAGCGGACGATGTCCACTGACAGTTCCTATCGGGCCCTATATAGCCGCAAAATGAAAATACCGCTCTTCCCCTCCTCTGTTCTAAAGCTATTTTGGAATCCTTACCTACTATTTTTCACCTTTATTCGCCAAAGGAATCATTTCTTGCCACAGCCGACACACATTTATAATGATTCAACACTATTTTCAAGTAGAATTCTGCGATTAAAAACATACACAAAAGACGTTTGATCTGACGGCCATTACGAGACCCGGACATGCGCAAACCGCATGTTTATTTCATCGCTAAATTCTACTTGAAAACTGTGTTGAATAATTAAAAATGTGTGTCAAATATATTGATAAATGATTCCTTTTGGTGGAAAATAAAGAATCACGGTGAAAAACGGAAGGTTAGTGTTCTAAAACAGCCTGAGAACACAGGTGGGGAAGAGCGGTATTTTACCGTATTTTCATATTGCAGCTATATAAGGTTTCGACAGGAACTGTCAGTGGACATCGTCCGCCCAGAGACAGTTCCTAACTACCCAAGACGTTGTTTATTTGTAAGGCGAGGTTAATAATTCATAGATATTTCAATTAAATGAAGCGGCCTTGTCGGTATTATATGATAACAAATAAATTATACAGTCTAAAACATTTCATGATATGTCGTTTTTGTAAAAATTAAAGATGTCTTCTGGCGCACAAACTGTGTGGTCGAGTCTGAGCAAAATAGTAGCACGTTGTACCCCATTTCATTTTATACAAGCTGTCTGATTTGATATGGTCTTAAATCTCTGTATATAATTTATGATTATAATTTAAAACAATGTATTTCTTTTTTATAATTAATGTCTTGAGCGGGAGATACACTAGCCGAATCGTTCAACCGACTCAATCGCCACTGAATTCATTCGACCGACAGAGTGGACACACTTTGCACATTCTCTGCCCGATTCACCAGTCGATAAGTCACGTGATTAAACTTGGCAGCGACCAAGAAAATAAGTTCACTGGTGATTTTTTTGTCGCCGGTCCAGCCTCGTGGGTTTTCTCCGGGTCCCCCTGTTCCCCCAAAGCTAAAGACCCCTACGCGAAATTATTGAAATAAAATTGAACCATGTGTTAGTCCCGAAATGACCTAGTTTGTGTCGAGTGGACGTTAAACCCCATTTCTCTCTCTCTCTCTCTCTCTCTCTCTCTCTTTACGCCATATTGGTTCACAATCTTGTTCGAGAATTGGCCGATAAATATATTGGCGGTCATGAACACTATATACGAGTGTCACCAGATATCTTCAACCAGTTGTTAGCTTTTGTCGGCCCGTCGATAACGAAGCAGAACACTGGATTCCGACAGACCTCAACAACGATTGGCAATAACTCTCGGATCTTTGGCCAGTGGTAACTGGTATTTTTTGAAAATGCATTTACAAAGACATTCAAGAATAAAAAAATATTTATATCATACTCGCTATAACATCAGCCCTCTAAACTTTTAATGCCTACATGCACCGATAGGCGTATTGCATGAGAACCGCACTTTAATTTATATACAGAAGCGTCGTTGAAATTGTGGACGCGGTTTGTATTTTTGTACGGCAGATCAAAAATTGATTTAAAAAATCCTGTGTTAAACTAAAAAACGATATAGCATATACATTCTGGCAAGCCTGATTCACCCTATTGTCCTATATATACTTTCACCTGGTGTGAAATCAGAATCTAGCCATCTAAACATTAAAGCAAAGAAATCATACAAGGCCCACACTGCTCGATAATGCCAGTCAACATAAATTCACGTTTGTCAACAATGATTCGATAATGCCTGCTTGAAATTGTGTATTAATTGTGCCATCATTCCACAATCTGATTAAAATACAAATCTATATTTCGTTTCATTTTTTTAATATTTTCGATGTCCTACACTACATGAAGATCTAACCGGTTGTATTAAAAGGCCGCGTCAGAGGTTGTACGAACGGCTTTTGACCCTATGACGTCAGATATGTATTAATTAATCAGCGTTGACGTGTCTAGTGGTTTACCTACAGTTCGGTGCATCGCATGCCAAGAAGTCACCGAAACAGGTAGTTTCATTGGCTAATCCCTCGCGCCATCCTGAACGCAGGTTGTATAACAACCCTCCCAGATCCTAGTGTAGTACAGACAAATAAAACAGCAATTTTAACTATAAAATACGAAACGAAATAGGAGCTGTGTTTTAATCAGATTGGTTTTGACACGATTTAAGACTTCTATACTTCTGTGCTTAAATCTTCTGCTCGTTATCCAGCAATTAAAGAAAACATATTTCTGGATAACCCCGGGATAGTTTCTGTTTCAATATTGCATACATTTGTTGGATATTTGCTGGACCACTATTCATTATTGTTGGCCGAGAAAGTGTCAACCTTTGCAGTTGGAATTCGATATTAGACTGGGCCGTAGTGCAGCTGTCCGGACAATACTGGCCCATAGCATACTATATCGGGCATATTAGATGACACGTGCACTGCCTTATTTGATACAATAAAGGGGAACTCCCCATATAGCCAACGGTGCTCTGTTCAGCCACAACAATAACCCTACACCTAAGAGGCAACCATGAAAATAATCGACACAGTAAGCACATCGAATCCACAATGTAAATACTATCTTTTATATCGAAAAATTATAGAATTTAAATATTTATTCAAGATCATTGTCACATAAATTAATTTTTAACAGCTTTGTGTTGCAGTGTGAACATTGTGCATCCATGGTCTCTTATGAATAAGAAAATTATTACACTAGTAAAACTAAACTGGACTAAACAACATAAAAACAAAATATTAAATTGTGTATCTTTGGCCGCGTATGAACAAGGAAATTAATATACTTGCTGATAATAATAGAATGGTCATCTCATAGCAATGATTATTTTCGTACCGACATTGAAATGACAGTATATGCTAATTGAAAGTTCTTAAGTTCTAAGTTAAATATTTAAAATTTGATATATAATGAAGCAGACATTCTGTGTTCCCCACAATACCATGATGCCGCAAGTCCATGATTATTTTGCTTAATGGTTAATCACTTGCAATAAATGCTGCAAAATGATTCCAGAGACCAAGACAATATTCATTCGCAGTTAGTCGCCAATGAAATTTAGAGGACTGTCACACTCATTCGATGCCAAGAAATCTCCTCCATTTTGGGCTACAATTAATTTCATCCAGGGTTCATAGACCAACGTTCTATTGTTTCCTACCCACACGAAAATGGTTAAGGAAATAAAAACATACGCGTATCTCTGTTCTGCGCAGTAGTCAGCAGGTGGGAATGGGAGGTAACTCTTACCAACAAAACTTATTTTTTGATTATTGTTACTAAATCAGTTATTTTGTGCGGTTATTCTGTTGTT